TCAAAATACCTATTTCCACATTTATATAGGAACGACCCTATTCAAACTTAATTCATAGAAAACTTCCCTTGACAGCCAGGGGAAATAAGATCATTTTCTGTACTATTTATTTGAAGTAAAATGTATTACTTATTTCTAAGTAATTATTTATTTAGAAATAAAGTAATTTTCTGGGCTATTTATTCAATGAATTTATTGCATGTCCAAGATCCCTGACCTCATGATGCTCTCAGTCTAGTGCAAAAGACAGACCAATAAACCACTAACTGAAAAGATAAGTGGTATAATAGAGACAAAGAAAAATGCTGTAAGGAGAGGGAAGAGTTATAAGTTTGACCTCAGGCCTTGGCTCCAACATGTGTTCCCCTGGGAAGCTTTTTTCATCATCCTGGCCAATGCTGCACTTTTGCTGGAAAGTGTGTGTGTGTGTGTGTGTGTGTGTGTGTGTGTACACACATCCTAACGGGAAGAGGGGGGGCTTTTCTAACACCTTTTCCTCTAAAAACATATCTTGAGGGAAGAAACTGCACCCTCAGCACCTGAAACAACAAAAATATGCTCTTTATCAACAACTATTTGAGATCAACGTCCCCGAGGTGTGGGAAGAGATTCCCAGAGAGATGATATGTGAAAGCAGGTCTTAAAGAACCGCATAGTCTGCCAGGCAGAGAAGGCTTTGCAGACCTAAGATTCAATGTTCAATTGCCATGTCCAATCATCATATATGCCTTTAATGCATACAGCTTTTGGCTCATTTTTGCAAATGTATCTTATAACTCACAGTGAGGAAAGAATGTAATCCCATAACAAGTTCCAAGAGCTAAGTTTCTATTATTACTATACAAATCTACCATTCAAGGGGGAAAAATCCTACAATATGGGTTCTTAGAGACTTATTTTTACTTAAAACTCTCTCAGTAACTATATTTTAGTTTAACATCTTCAAAGAAATTGACCAAGCCCAGCAGATCAATAAACTAGATTTACTAAGAAAACCTCAGAAACGTAAGTACTTAATTTCTTTAGAACTTTACTTTTCTTAAATTCAAATTAATTCATGTGAATTTTCAAGTTAACTTGAAGAATGGGAGAATCACTTACCAAAATCATAAAAATTGCCCTGGCTGGGTGGCTCAGTTGGTTGGAGCATCGTCCCATACACCAAAAGGTTGCGGTTCAGTTCCCAGTCAGAGGTGCATGCAGGAAGCAATCAATGCCTCTCTCTCTCTCTCTCTCTCTCTCTCTCTCTCAAATTAATAAAAACATGCTCAGTAGGAATTATAAAAAAATAATCACAAAATTCTCTCACATGCCAAAAAATTCAATCAGCTTATTTACTACTGACTGAGAGGTAACAGGCCGAGATAACACAAAACAACATTTTACTTTTGGAATGGTGAAGGCAGAGACTGGTGGCTATTAATTATTTTGGCTCCTGGCAAACACTTCACCAGAGCTACACGCCCACTCCCTGCTTGAGAGGAGGACAGCTAGACAGCTACAGCCTCGTCAGTTTTCTGGAAGGTTCTGACTAGGGAAAGGCAGCCCAGGCCCTCATATACTCAGTAAGTAGCCACACAGGTAGAGAAAGAGCATGTCCTTTTAGTCCTGAAGGAATCTGACTTGGAGAGGGGGTCTGCCAAACTTTCAACCTTTCCTTGAACAGAAAAGGACACTGAGGCCCAGGGAACTAGGTGAGTTTTTCTCAAATCCACAATCAGTAGAACCCAGGGATCTTCACTTGGTCAGCCATCATTTCTACTATCCTTGGCCATCTCTCGTTAGGACATCAACATTTTACAAATACAGCCAAAATGTTCAGTAGGTGAGAACACTCATGGAACAGAGCTGAGACTTGGAGTTCTGACTCTTAATCTGGAACATGAGAACTTAAGAGTGAGTCATCAGGACAGCTTCAGTTATGTATCAGAGATGATACAAACTCGGCTGGCTCACAGCTTCACCCAACTCAGTCTCATTTTCCCCAATATTGATGGTTATGACAAACAGTCCTCCTCTGAGAGAAGGTTTTAAAGAATAAACAGGACTACCGAGATACCCAGCACCAACCAGTGAAATTGAGCTAGCAAGGTGAGGTACACCAATAGGCCTAGCGTAGCCTGCTGGCCAAGTGTAGCACAGGAGTGCCAGCCTACACCAGCACACTGTTTTTAGTTGCCAGAGACTCTCAACGTCAAGGGCAGAAAAAAAATCTGGGCCATGCAAATTTCTTTTGTTATCTGAGTTCAATGTGATTGGGGTTCTGAATGAGTGTTCGTGCCATGGGCAGTCTTGAGCCATCACTTTCTCTATTCGTCACTGAAAGTATTTTAGGAAAAACAATGTTTCCTAAACTACAAACTTCATGGGATAGAAGAGGCAGAGAGGAAGAGAGTCAACCATAATGGTGTAAAAATAATATTAGAGAATCTTGTAGTCAATTTTAACAGCATGGGCAATATTTACAGACCTATTTTTACTGATCAAATAAAAACTATAAGTTCTTCTGTGTGATAAATCTGAACACTGGAGCACACAATTTTAATTAAGTTGAAACTATTTAAATTCTCTAATAATTGATATTAGAGCATAGATTTTTTTTCTTAAAATCTCTCTTGCAACAGGGTACTCCACTCATTACTGGAATATTCAAGACTTAGACAAAGATCCATTGTCAGAGAAAATGCCACTATGACAAAAGAAGTGAACAAATTTTCTTCTTTTGCAGTAACTGAATACTGCTGGAAACAAGTGGTCAATTGGCTAGACTAGGAAAACATTTCTGTTGTGCAAATATTTGTTGCATCATTATTTATCATATGATGGTATAATTTGGACTCTATGGGTCTCATCCTCATGGGAAGAAAATGTTCCAACCCTTCCATGGTCAGCTGAAACTACAGTTTGAGAATTAGACTCAGTGGACCATGTACTGCCTAGGCAATAACTCAGTGTACACTATATGTTCTCATTAATTAATGTGATAATGGTTATCTTGACCAAATTCCCCCTATGATGATATTCATCTTTGGAGTACATTAATTTCATGTAGCAAATGTACTGTTAAAATTACTTCAGAGGAAGGTACTAAAATCTTCAGACCACCCTAGGCACAGTATCCCAAGGGCATGCCAGTAATGGGTGTTTAATCCATAGGCATTGCCTTGATCTTTCCATGGGGCTGTTACTCCAGTGTTGGGCCAGTCAGTCAGTCAGTTACTCAGTTTTGAAATATCTAGACAAATGTTGTTCTTACGTTTCTAACACCATAAAGATATGGAGTGATAAAAGCCTGTTTAACAGTGTATCTTAATTTTACATCTACTTCTCCAGTTGGCATCACCTCCTCAAGTAGCCTTTAAAATCAAAATACACAACTGACCAAGAGAATGTGTGAAGTCGCTAACACACACATAGGCTGAAGAAGACAACTTAAGTTTGGCTGGGTCCTCATCTAGCCAGACAAGGGAAAACTTCTGGCAACAGTGATCAAATAGAGAAACTCAACCACTTCCAGGACTCCTCAGTGTGGCCACATCAGTGTATGAGAGGTGAATTGTAGAAGAAAGAGCATCTACTGCAGGTATTGTGGGACAAGTCATGTTACTTTACTCATGTGTGTGTGTAAAATGGGCACAGTGCCTTCAGAATATAACATAAGAACAGGATGAAATGATATAAGAAAAACAATTGGCTCAAAGTTTAATTTCCTCTCCCTGCCAAGCAAATGTGCCATTTGCATGAAGAAAGATGCATGAGGGCAGACTGTATGTAAACATGCAGGCAGCAAATACTTGGGGAACGTCTGATCGTTACAGGTGATATTTAGATCTGGCATACCTTGTTTTATTGGCATTTCACTTTATTGTGCTTCACAGGTGTTGTGTTTCTTTACAAATTGAAGGCAGGACCTTCCACCAGCAAAAAGATTACAACTCACTTTACTGTACTCCTGGCTTTATTGTGGTGGCCTGGTACCGAACCTGCAATGTCTCCTAGGTATGCCTGTACTTACTAAGTAATGCTTTATTTTTTCTTTAAAAGAAAAGAAGAATAAGTATTGCAGGAATTCAAGGATGACACAACATACAACCAATCAGTCCCTTTGAGTGAAGCATGGTTGACACTTGAGTGAAGCAGTTACCAAGCAACTGCTGATTCCAATGGCCTGTAACCATCATCCTAACTACTACTAGCTAATTTCAATAGAAGAGAGGGCAAGAGAGATTGACCTTGATTCACCTCATTACCAACCAAATGCAGAAAACCCTTTAGAACAGTGGTTTTCAGCCTTAGCTGCACATTCCAATCACCTGTGGAGCTTTTACAACTCGGGATGCCCAGGCCACACCCCAAACCAATTACATCCTAACCTGGAAGGGGGGGGGGAGGAGAGGGGAGTTAGGCACCTATGTTTTTTAAAATCTCCAGTAACCCAAGATGCAGCCAAGGTTAAGAACAATTGCCTAGGATCACCCCTCCTGAGCTCATATAACTTCTGCTGGGAGTCCAACCAGGAAAGCCAACCTAGAGCTTTTCACAACACAACCTTCTGAATAGAGCAGATACAACAGGGTCCCTCCCACAGGCTGGCACCACAGGTGTCTCCACTGAGGTCCACACACAGGGGGCTGAGCAAACAGCTTATTAGCTAAAGGGTTACCCAGATCCTCACTGGGGAGCCACCTTTTCAAATAGTTTGCAATTAAAAAACAAGTTCGCCAATTTTAAGAGATGTCACCTAAGTCCAAAGCCCTTTAGGATGCTTTCTTTGTTTTGTTCTTTTCTTTTTTATATATAAGGCAAATCTTTTGGGAAGGACAATCAGAGGATAGCGCGCTCCACACAGAGCTTAAGGAAAAGCAGAGATAACGTACAATTCCCGTGGCCTAGAAGACACCCCCTTGGCTCCCTTCCCCCACCCCCCATCCCCCACCAGCGGGCCTGCAGCCACTGCACCTGCTGAGGCGCACCTGCTGCGCTGGGCCCTCCCCTCCTACCTTCCAGCAGCTCGTCCAGGCTGGTGACCTTCCTGCTGCCGTCGATGGTGTAGATGGTGCGGACGCCCTGGGGCAGGTTCACGTTGTCTGACAGGGAGCGGGTGAGCTCCATGAGCAGCGCGTCGAAGGACCGGAAGCGGTCGCTGGAGATGGCAAACACCAGGCCCTTAAAGTAGCGGTCCCCATTCCGGTAGAAGCGCGCCTTCTTTGCCTTCTTCTCGGAGCTCAGGGCCTGCAGGGTCCGCGTGCGGTAGAAGCTGCAGTGGGCGCTGTGCGCCGGGCTGGGGATGAGCCCGTTCCCC